CTCCCTTTCTTTTTTTAAATGCAAGCTTTTATTATTTTTTAAATTTATTTATTACGTATGCAATGTTGTGCCTGCATGTATCCCTGCATGCCAGAAGAGGGCACCAGATCTCATTACAGATGGTTGTGAGCCACCATGTGGTTGCTGGGAAATGAACTCAGGACCTCTGGAAGAGCAGCCAGTGCTCTTAACCTTCTTGAGCCATCTCTCCAGCCCTCCCTCTCCTTCCTTCCTTCTCTTTCTTTCTTTCTTTCTTTCTTTCTTTCTTTCTTTCTTTCTTGGTTTTTCAAGACGGGATTTGTCTGTGTAACAACTCTAGCTGCCCTGGAACTAGCTCTGTAGACAAGGCTGGCCTTGAATTTACAGAGATCCGCTTGCCTCTGCTTCCTGAGTGCTGGGATTAAAGGCATGCTCCATTACCACCTGGCTACTATGTATTTCTTAAAAGTTAAAAAAAGTTGGGGGGCTGGAGAGATGGCTCAGTGGTTAAGAGCACTGACTGTTCTGGCGGATCTCTGTGAGTTCAAGGCCAGCCTGGTCTACAGAGCTAGTTCCAGGACAGGCTCCAAAACAATACAGAGAAACCCTCTCTTGACAAAAAAAAAAAAAAAAAAGGAGCCAATAATAAAGCTGTTCATGTAAGCCTGGTAGAAAAACTCTGTTAAAATATAAAGGGGGTTGGGGAGATGGCTCAGTGCTAAGAGCACTGGCTGCTCTTCCAGAGGTCCTGGGTTCAATTCCTAGCAACCACATGGAACCTCACAACTGTCTGAAACCCCTGTTCCAGGGGACCTAATGCCCTCATGCAGGCAAAACACCAATATATATGGAATAAAAATAAGTTATTTAAAAAAGTATGAAGATGGCTCAAGCTGTTTGGGTCACTTGAGTGCAATCCACCTGGTGGTCAGCAGTTTTCCATGTGCAGACAGAACTTCCCTGTCTCAGGATCTCAACCTGAGCCAAGCTGGACCCCAGGTTCAATTCCCAGCATGCACATGGCAGCTTACAACTGCTTGTACTCCAGTTCCAGGGGACCCAATGCCCTCTATTGGGACACCAGGCACTCAAGTGCTTCACATACATGCAGACACTCATACACATAAAATAAAAAGCTGGGTGTGGTGGTGCACATCTTTAACACTGACATTTGGGAGGCAAAGGCAGGGAGATCTCTGGGTTGGAGGCCAGCTAAGCATACAAAGAGTTCCAGGCGAGCCAGGGGTCCAGAGCAAGACACTGTCTTAGAAAAAAGTTTATAAAAATTTCAGAAAATTATGTGTATGTGTATTATATAGATACATGCACATGAATGCAGGGCCTTGCAAAGTCCAGAAGAGGATATCAGATCCTCTGGAGCTAGGGTTTGCAGCCTGACATTGGTGCTGGGAAACAGACATGGTCTCTTTGAGGGCAGGGCACCCTGAGCTGCTGCTGTGTCTCCAGGCTCTCTGTGAATCTTGTATTAAGATTTAAAGGTTATGTCAGAGCTCCCTAGATGACCCTGGCGCTCAGACTTTTGTTTGCTAAGTTTGTTTCCCTTAATGTGGCTACCCTGAGCAGGCTTTCCTAGTTTCACTACTGTTTCTTTAAACAGTGTGTTCAGATGGGTGGCTGAGCAAAGGTTATTGAGGTTGTGAAAGCCAGGACTTTGGCTTTGAGATTCCTGTTCTAGTGTGAATTGAACAGAATCAGGACTAACTTAACACTTTCAGTTTATGTGATCACTAATTTATAAGCCAGTTTGGTACCAGATAGAGGACACAGCAAACAAGGATGCATGAAGACAATGCATAGACACCTGCAGACTACATAAAGGATTTCATAGCCTTTCATTTAGTTTTCATTTGTTAATTTTAAGTTGTTTCTGTTGATCTGGTTATTTTATCCACAGCATTAAGTAATACATATTCTAAAATCTGAGTATCCAAAGATATGACTATTAGAGATAAGGTATAGCTTAGAACATTTTAAAATTAAAAAAGATTTTTGTTTTTTTAAATGTGTGTGGGTGTTTTGTCTGAATATATCTCTAGACATTTGCATGCTGAGGCCATAAGATGGAGTCGGATCCCCTTGAACTGGAGTCTCAGACAGTTGTGAACTGCTGTGTGGGTGCTGGGAATTGAACCTGGGTCCTCTGGAAGATCTCTTAATCTCCAGTGCTCTCAATCACAGAGCTTCTCCCCAGTCTCCATTTTAACCTGTCTGTGCTTTGTGATTGAATGAAAACAATGGAAAGGAAAGGAAAGGAAAGGAAAGGAAAGGAAAGGAAAGGAAAGGAAAGGAAAGGAAAGGACTGCTCCTAGGTATGGGTGAGGAGAAAGTTTATTGTAAATAGAAGGGAGAGCTTAGCCAGAGGCAGAGACATCAGGTAGAGTCCAGAGTGGTGATGGCCAGGCTGAGCTGGGCTATGTGGAGAGAGGGGGACCGGAAAGAGGGAGGGGGAGAGGGAACCAGGAGCAGCAGCACGAGGCCAAAGGCACAAAATGGGTGGGTAGCCAGAATGCCTGGGTTACATAGGGAAGAGCCTGTGGGGGAAGGGCAGACCAGCCCCGCCCGGGGCTGGAGAGTTCAGGGTAGAGGCTGGCACACCCTGTAACAGCTAGGGACTGAGGGATGCTGGGAGGACCTGGAGGCTAGCTCCCATTGGCTATGTTAAATAGGCACCTCCATCTTTTGTTTCTGGTTTGAAACTTAATAGTGATGTGTACTCCTCCCTAGCAGTAGAAGCAGGCAAGAGTTAAAACATTTACAAGAGAGCTGGAGAGATGGCTCAGAGGTTAAGAGCACTGGCTGTTCTTCCGGAGGTCCTGAGTTCAATTCCCAGCAACCACATGGTGGCTCACAACCATCCGTTATGAGATCTGGTGCCCTCTTCTGGTGTGCAGATATACATGGAAGCAGAATGTTGTATACATAATAAATAAAAATTAAAAAAAATTACAAGCGTTAAACAGTGCAGTGGCAGTTCAAGCCTAACACTCAGGAGGATCTCTGAGTTCAAGGCCACTCTGGTCTACAGAGTGCCGGGACAGTCAAGACTGTTACAAAGAGAAACCTTGTCTCGAAAAGCCAAATAAATAAATAAATTAAAATTTACAAGAGTTAAAAAATTGGGCATATTTTCCCAAAAGTCATACTGCCACTGAGTTGTGCTAGTAGAAGACCTTAATTCCTGTTGCACACATGGTCCTGACAGAAGGCCCGCAATGTCCAACGCTGAATTCTGACTGTAAGTAAGATTCCCCTCCTTTCAACAACCACTACCCTCCCGGGAGGTGCCTGCGAGCCTTGGACTAGGAGCAGAATTCAGCTTTCCCTCGGGAGCGGGAGCGGAGAAGGTCTCTGAAAACCTCTCTCGCTCCATTTTCTTCACGGTTACTGTCCCCCAGCGCGGGGAGGCGAGGTCGTAGTGTGGTCCCGCTTGCCTGCCTCACGCTCCTGGAAGACAGTTTGCCCACTCCACTGTGTGCGCGTGCGTATGTGTGCGTGCATGTGCCAGTGTGTGCGTGCATGCGCGTGCACGTGTGTGTATGTGTGCGTGTGTGGTTTAGGATAGACCTTGCCTCACGCTCCTGCAAGACAGTTTGCCCACTCCACTGTGTGTGCGTGCCTGTGTGCGTGCATGTGCGAGTGTGTGTGCGTGCATGCGCGTGCACGTGTGTGCATGTGTGCCTGCATGTGCGTGTGTGTGTGCAAGCGTGCGCATGTGTGTATGTGTGCGTGTGTGGTTTATGGACAGACCTTGCCTCACGCACCTGGAAGACAGTTTGCCCACTCCACTGTGTGTGCGCGCGCGTGTATGTGTGCGTGCATGTGCGTGCGTGCATGTGTGCCTGCATGTGCGTGTGTGTGCAAGCGTGCGCGTGCGGGTATGTGTGCGTGTGTGGTTTAGGACAGACCTTGCCTCACGCACCTGGAAGACAGTTTGCCCACTCCACTGTGTGTGCATGCGCGCGTGCCTGTGTGTGTACGTGCGTGTGTGTCTGTACGTGCGTGTGCTTGGTTTGGGGCCAGACAGGAAATGGTGACAGGGCCACAAGCCCAGGGAAGCCGGCAGGGAGGCTTTGGCTGTGACTCCAGGGTGTTTCCTAGGCCACGCCCACCTTCTGTTTTCAAAGGATGGAGCGTCGCGAGTGTGGGAACGCGCGCGTGCGTGCAGCGTCCTCGGAGGCCAGGAGAGGGCGGCCGAGAGCGGGCGCTGGGAACGAACGCAGGCCCCGCTGCCTCTCCATCTCCGTTTGTCTTCATTCTCCCCCTCCCCTCACCCCACTTCCCATCGCGCTCCCGTCTCAGCCTCCGAGTGTCGGGATTACAGCCGCAGAGGCGGCGCTGGCAGCAGGCCACCCTCCGCCCCGGGAGCCGGTGACATGTCCCGAGAGTCCAACTGCCGGGCGGGTGAAGGCGGTAATGGCGATGAGCCCGGACCGTGGACTACAACTCCCAGCACGCCCCGCGAACCTCCGAGTCAAGCAAGTCTCGCGCGACGTGCCGCGCCGCGGTCTCGGCCTGGGCTGGGGTTC